GGGGTGATGGGGGTGATGGTGGTGATGGTGGTGATGGGGGTGATGGGGGTGGGGGTGATGGAGGTGGTGGTGATGGGGGTGATGGTGATGGGGGTGGTGGTGATGGGGGTGATGGTGATGGGGGTGGTGGTGATGGGGGTGATGGTGATGGTGGTGATGGGGGTGGTGGTGATGGGGGTGGTGGTGATGATGGTGATGGGGGTGATGGTGATGGGGGTGGTGGTTATAGGGGTGATGGTGATGGGGGTGATGATGATGGTGATGGGGGTGGTGGTGATGGGGGTGGTGGTGATGGGGGTGATGGGGGTGGTGGTGATGGAGGTGGTGGTGGTGATGGGGGTGGTGGTGATGGGGGTGATGGTGATGGGAGTTGTGGTGATGGGGGTGATGGTGATGGGGGTGGTGGTAATGGGGGTGATGGGGGTTCTGGTGATGGGGGTGATGGTGATTGTGGTGATGGGGGTGGTGGTGATGGGGGTGATGGGGGTGATGGGGGTGATGGTGATGGGGGTGATGGTGATGGGGGTGGTGGTGATGGGGGTGATGATGGTGGTGATGGGGGTGATGGTGATGGGGGTGGTGGTAATGGTGATGAAGGGGGTTGTGGTGATGGGGGTGATGGTGATGGGGGTGGTGGTGATGGGGGTGATTGGGGGTGGTGGTGATGACGAGGCCACGACTTAGCGAAGGCGTTGCCTTCGTCACCTCGCTAATGCGGTGATTACAGCACGTGGTCTCCTACATCATCACCATCACGTACACCACCACCATCATCACCATCATCACCACCATAACCCACACCACCATCATCACCACCACCACCATCATCACCATCACCCACACCATCATCACCATCACGTACATCACCATCACCTACACCATCATCATCACCTCCATCACTACCATCACGCACACCATCCACACCACCACCATCATCACCATCACGCACACCACCATCACCACCAACACCCACACCACCATCATCACATTACCATCACCCACACCGAAGACAAAGATCCCTCGTGTAGCCTTAACAGACTGTAGGGGCAAGTGCTGTTAGCGAGCAGCACCTAAGGAGGCTACCGGCACAGTGAGCACACGAGGGAGTATGTGGCCAGCACCACACTCACACACACACAACACCACACACTCTCACACACACACAACACCACGCCCGGCTGATGGGACCTTGCCCAGATCTTTCAAGGATTTGTGAGCTCCTCACACAATCCAGCCTGCAGGTTAAACCCAGGATGGCTCGTCGGCAGGCCAGACTGAATGTTTCTAACGGGCGAAAATGTTCCATTAAGGGTGGGGTCCACGTTTCACAAGCGTAGAGAAGGGCAGGAATGACCGTGGCCGAGAAGACCTGAAGCTTAGTGCGGAGCGACAGACCAGGTAGCTTCCACACAGCGGCGTTACGCAACCGATGAAAAGATATTGCCGCTCGACTGATTCGGAGTGAGATCTCTGCTGTTAAACCGGAGCCGGTCATGATCAACGCTGCCCAGGTATGGGAAACTCTCCACTCTCTCCACAACTGCCCCATCACCGATTGGAGGTTGTGGGGGTGGAGTGTCCGATGGTACAAAATACCCAGGCGGGTGCTTAGTTTTGGTGGGGCTGATGGTAAGTCCCCCACCTCTTAGTGGCACGCTCCAGTCTCAGCAGCAGCGTCTCCAACTCGTCCTCTGACTGAGCAGCTATTACCAAATCAACAGGCGTACATAACGTGGTTGAGCAATTGGGAGCCATCCCTTGACCGCACCCGGGCATCGATCAGTCTCCCATTGTATCTGTACCAAGGTCATCGCCATGGAGTCAACATTGGGGGGGAAGGGATTACCAAATCTTCCCCCCGCAGATAAAAAATCTAAATTTGAAAACGAATTTCCTGCCATTTCCTGCCTAAAATATAACAAAAGTTCGCGGACGCATAGGATGGACTTTTTAAAGATTTATTTTACAATAATGTCTAATAGAGATTGTGGATCAATAAAGTACAACCATAACCACAATCAAATAAATAGAAATCGATTTTATAGCAAGAAATTGGGGGGGGGGGGACATTTTGAGCATATTTTAATATTAGAGTGGGGGGTGAGGGGGTGTCCCCCCCCAATATATATTATAATTACGGCCTTGATCTGTTCCAGATGGAAATTTCTCCGGTACAGCTATTGAAGGCTTCACGAACTACGTGGTCGAAATAGATGTTAAATGTCGGAGCCAGAGGACATCCCTGTCGCACCCCAAGGTGTACAGGGAATGGTTCCGACTCCCGGCCACGTAGTTTTACCCGGGCCCGCTCACCATCATGAAGGTCCTTAATGATCGTGAGCCAGAGGATCAGGGACTCCAAAAGCACGAAGAACAACCCAGAGCCCAGGGCCTACTGATGGTATCATAGGCCTTGACCAGGTCAATAAAGCAGAGATGTAGGTCTTGTTGGAATTCCCTACACCAACCCCCACCACCCACACCACCATCGACACCCCCATCACCACCCACACCACCACCCCCACCCCACTACCACCCACACCACTACCACCAACACCACATCACCACCACCATCCCCACCACCACCTCCACCCACACCACCACCCTCACCCCACACCACTACCACCAACACCACATCACCACCACCATCCCCACCACCACCTCCACCCACACCACCACCCCCACCCCACACCACTACCACTACCACCCACGCCACATCACCACCACCATCCCCACCACCACCTCCACCCACACCACCACCCTCACCCCACACCACTACCACCCACGCCACATCACCACCACCATCCCCACCACCACCGTGACCCACACAGTCTGCGAGGGAACAGGGTCAACAGAAAGTGACGGAGCGGAGTGACGGGGTCAACAGACCAAGTGACGGAGCGGAGTGACGGGGTCGCGGGGTCAACAGACCAAGTGACGGAGCGGAGTGACGGAGCGGAGTGACGGGGTCAACAGACCAAGTGACGGAGCGGAGTGACGGGGTCAACAGACCAAGTGACGGAGCGGAGTGACGGGGTCGCGGGGTCAACAGACCAAGTGACGGAGCGAAGTGACGGGGTCAACAGACCAAGTGACGGAGCGGAGTGTCGGGGTCAACAGACCAAGTGACGGAGCGGAGTGACGGGGTCGCGGGGTCAACAGACCAAGTGACGGAGCGGAGTGACGGAGCGGAGTGACGGGGTCAACAGACCAAGTGACGGAGCGGAGTTTACGGAGCGGAGTGACAGACAGAAGTGACGGAGCGGAGTGACAGACAGAAGTGACGGAGCGGAGTTTACGGAGCGGAGTCTGCGTGGGCCACTTTGTCGTCGCGCGAGATGAATCTTTATTTCCAACGCGTTGGCATAAACAACAACAACAGCAAGAATAGTAAAACACGTGACGGATTATACCCTAACCCCCTCCTCCTCCCATCCCCTCCCCTCGCGGACATTCCAGTTCCAAGTCCGGTCCGGGCTTTGAGGTCCGCATCCGGAAATGTTTTGTTTGTTCCAGATTTCTTTGTTCGCTCCCGGATGCTGGCTCCGGGCTCCGGGCTCCGGGCTCCGGGATTTGGTTCCGGAGTTTGTTTGGGATTGGTGGTGGTGGTGTGGATGAGTGTGGATGAGTGTGGGTGAGTGTGGGTGAGTGGTGAGTGTGGGTGAGTGTGGGTGAGTGGTGAGTGTGGGTCGGTGTGGATGAGTGGGTGGTGGGTGGTGAGCGGTGATGGTGAGCGGTGGTGAGTGGTGGGTGGTGAGCGGTGGGTGAGTGGTGAGCGGTGATGGTGAGCGGTGAGTGTGGGTGAGTAGTGAGCGGTGATGGTGAGCGGTGATGGTGAGCGGTGAGTGGTGAGCGGTGAGTGGTGAGCGGTGAGTGGTGAGCGGTGGTGATGAGTGGGTGGTGAGTGGGTGGTGAGTGGGTGGTGAGTGTGGGTGAGTGATGAGCGGTGGTGATGAGTGGGTGGTGAGTGGGTGGTGAGTGTGGGTGAGTGATGAGCGGTGATGGTGAGTGGTGAGCGGTGAGTGTGGGTGAGTGATGAGCGGTGGGTGAGTGGTGATGGTGAGCGGTGATGGTGAGTGGTGAGCGGTGGGTGAGCGGTGATGGTGAGTGGTGAGTGGTGATGGTGAGCGGTTGGTGAGTGGTGAGCGGTGATGGTGAGTGGTGATGGTGAGTGGTGAGTGGTGATGGTGAGTGGTGAGTGGTGATGGTGAGTGGTGAGTGGTGAGCGGTGATGGTGAGCGGTGATGGTGAGTGGTGAGTGGTGATGGTGAGTGGTGAGTGGTGATGGTGAGTGGTGAGTGGTGAGCGGTGATGGTGAGCGGTGATGGTGAGTGGTGAGTGGTGAGCGGTGATGGTGAGTGGTGAGTGGTGAGCGGTGATGGTGAGTGGTGAGCGGTGATGGTGAGCGGTGATGGTGAGTGGTGAGTGGTGATGGTGAGCGGTGATGGTGAGTGGTGAGTGGTGAGCGGTGATGGTGAGTGGTGAGTGGTGAGCGGTGATGGTGAGTGGTGAGCGGTGATGGTGAGCGGTGATGGTGAGTGGTGAGTGGTGATGGTGAGTGTGGGTGAGTGATGGTGAGTGGTGATGGTGAGTGGTGAGTGGTGAGTGTGGGTGAGTGGTGAGTGGTGAGCGGTGATGGTGAGTGGTGAGTGGTGATGGTGAGTGGTGAGTGGTGATGGTGATGGTGAGCGGTGATGGTGAGTGGTGATGAGTGGTGAGCGGTGGGTGAGTGGTGAGCGGTGATGGTGAGTGGTGATGGTGAGTGGTGAGTGGTGGGTGGTGAGTGGTGAGTGGTGATGGTGAGTGGTGATGGTGAGTGGTGAGTGGTGAGTGGTGGGTGGTGAGTGGTGAGTGGTGATGGTGAGTGGTGATGGTGAGTGGTGATGGTGAGTGGTGAGTGGTGGGTGGTGAGTGGTGAGTGGTGATGGTGAGTGGTGATGGTGAGTGGTGAGCGGTGAGTGGTGAGTGGTGATGGTGAGTGGTGAGTGGTGAGCGGTGAGTGGTGAGTGGTGGGTGAGTGGTGAGTGGTGAGCGGTGGGTGGTGAGCGGTGATGGTGAGTGGTGAGTGGTGAGCGGCTCAGCCGTCGTCGGCGGGCTGCAGGAAGGTGGCCGTGGGGGGCAGCCGCTTTGTAGGGGGGGGCCCCCCTTGCCCCCCCCCCGGGGACTGCCCCCTGCCCCCTGCCCCCCCCGAGCCGAGGGCTGAACAACGCCGCTTGGTAGCGAACTTCCTCTGTACCGTGCCCACCACCGACTCGAACCTGCGAATCAACAACAACAACAACAACAACAACCTCGTCAACAACAACAACAACAACCTCGTCAACAACAACAACAACAACCACAACAACGTCGTCAACAACAACAACAACCTCGTCAACAACAACAACAACAACCTCGTCAACAACAACAACCTCGTCAACAACAACAACCTCGTCAACAACAACAACCTCAACAACAACAACCTCGTCAACAACAACAACCTCGTCAACAACAACAACAACAACAACCTCGTCAACAACAACAACCTCGTCAACAACAACAACCTCGTCAACAACAACAACCTCGTCAACAACAACAACAACAACAACAACCTCGTCAACAACAACAACCTCGTCAACAACAACAACCTCGTCAACAACAACAACAACCTCGTCAACAACAACCTCGTCAACAACAACAACAACCAACGTCAACAACCAACGTCAACAACCACGTCAACAAGCACATCAACAACCACCACCACAACTACATCAACCACCACGACCACATGAACCACAACTACCACATCAACCACCACCGACTCGAACCTGCGAATCAACAACAACCTCGTCAACAACAACAACCAACGTCAACAACAACAACCACGTCAACAACCACGTCAACAAGCACATCAACAACCACCACCACAACTACATCAACCACCACGACCACATGAACCACAATTACCACATCAACCACCACCGACTCGAACCTGCGAATCAACAACAACCAACGTCAACAACAACAACCACGTCAACAACCACCACCACAACTACATCAACCACCACGACCACATGAACCACAACTACCACATCAACCACCACCGCCTCGAACCTTCAACCACAACCACCAAAACCACATCAACCACCACCACACTCAGCCACAACCACCACAACCACCACCACATCAACAACCACATCAACAACCACATCAACAACCACATCAACAACCACCACCACAACTACATCAACCACATCAACCACCACGACCACATGAACCACAACTACCACAATCAACCACCACCGCCTCGAACCTTCAACCACAACCACCAAAACCACATCAACCACCACCACACTCAGCCACAACCACCACAACCACCACCACATCAACAACCACATCAACAACCACATCAACAACCACATCAACAACCACCACCACAACTACATCAACCACATCAACCACCACGACCACATGAACCACAACTACCACATCAACCACCACCTCGAACCTGCAGCCAGCACATGATGGGGGGGGTGGTGGTGATGATGGGGGGTGGTGATGGGGTGGTGATGGGGTGGTGATGGGTGGTGATGGGGTGGTGGTGATGGGGGGTGGTGATGGGGGGTGGTGATGGGGGGGGGGGGGTGATGGGGGGGGGGTGATGGGGTGGTGATGGGGGGTGATGGGGTGGTGGTGATGGGGGATGGGTGGTGGTGATGGGTGGTGATGGGGGGTGATGGGAGGTGGTGATGGGGGTGGTAATGGGAGGTGGTGATGGGGGTGGTAATGGGAGGTGATGATGGGGGGTGAGATGAGGGAGTGAGGGGGTGGCGTCACGGTGGGGTCACGGTGGGGTCACGGTGGGGTCAGGGTGGGGTTGTTGAAAATGAGGAAGAAACTTGACCAAGCCGCCAGATCACTTCTGGTAAACAACCCCCAACACAAAGTCTGGCCCTGTCAGCCTGGCCCTGTCTGTGTGGCCCTGTCAGCCCGGCCCTGTCTGCGTGGCCCTGTCAGCCCGGCCCTGTCAGCCTGGCCCTGTCTGTGTGGCCCTGTCAGCCTGGCCCTGTCTGTCAGGCCCTGTCTGTCTGGCCCTGTCTGTCAGGCCCTGTCAGCCTGGCCCTGTCTGTGTGGCCCTGTCAGCCTGGCCCTGTCTGTCAGGCCCTGTCTGTCTGGCCCTGTCTGTCAGGCCCTGTCAGCCTGGCCCTGTCAGCCTGGCCCTGTCAGCCTGGCCCTGTCAGCGTGGCCCTGTCAGCCTGGCCCTGTCAGCGTGGCCCTGTCAGCGCGGCCCTGTCAGTGTGGCCCTGTCTGTGTGGCCCTGTCAGCGTGGCCCTGTCAGCGTGGCCCTGTCAGCCTGGCCCTGTCAACGTGGCCCTGTCAGCCTGGCCCTGTCAGCGTGGCCCTGTCAGTGTGGCCCTGTCTGTGTGGCCCTGTCAGTGTGGCCCTGTCAGCCTGGCCCTGTCAGCGTGGCCGTCAACGCGGCCCTGTCTGTGTGGCCCTGTCTGTGTGGCCCTGTCTGTGTGGCCCTGTCTGTGTGGCCCTGTCTGTGTGGCCCTGTCTGTGTGGCCCTGTCTGTGTGGCCCTGTCAGCGTGGCCCTGTCTGTGTGGCCCTGTCAGCGCGGCCCTGTCTGTGTGGCCCTGTCTGTGTGGCCCTGTCTGTGTGGCCCTGTCTGTGTGGCCCTGTCTGTGTGGCCCTGTCTGGCCTCCCCCAGGTCGACTCAGCCTCAAGTGAGTTCCCTGGCGTCAGCGGTGCGCAGCCGTAAACATCGCTAGCACTGGGGGAGACAAAGGCGGCCGGGCGTGGTGCCGGCCACCCAGGCCCCATCGTGTGCCCACAGTGCCGGTAGCCTTCACAGCTGCTTATCGCTAACGGCACTTGCCCCAACAGTCTGTCGAGGCTACGCGGGGGGTCTTTGTCTGTGTGTGTGGGGAGCGGTGGTGCAGCGGTTAGCGCTACGATGCGCTGTGAACCCAGCGACCGACCAGAGTTCGATTCCCGCTCACGGCCAACACCGGTGACGATTATCTGAACCGGTCCTGGGCCTCCCCTAGGTCGACTCAGCCTGAAATGAGTTACCTGGTGCGGTGCGTAAAACATCGTCACTGGGAAGACAAAGGCGGTCGGGCGTGGTGCTGGCCACCCACCCCCTCGTGTGCCGTGCCGGCCTTCACAGGTGCTGCTCGCTAACAGCGCTTGCCCCTACAGTCTGTTAAGGCTATACGGGGGATCTGTGTTTTTGTAAGTGTGTGTATGTGTGTATGTGAGTTAGTGTACGTGAGTGTATGTGTGTGTATGTGAGTGTGAGTGTATGTGAGTGTGTGTAGGTCTTGGGCGTGTGAGAAAGTGTATGTGAGTGAGTGTATATGAGTGTGTGTGAGTGTGTATGTGAGTGAGTGTGTATGTGAGTGTGTGTATATGAGTGTATGTGAGTGAGTGTGAGTGTATGTGAGTTTGTATGTGAGTGTGTTAATATGAGTGTGTGTGTGTATGTGAGTGTGTGTTTGTGAGTGTGTGTATGTGAGTGTGTATGTGAGTGAGTGTGTATGTGAGTGTGTGTGTATGTGAGTGTGTGTATGCGTCCGGCAAAACAACCCCCTACCTCCTCGCGGTGCCGGACGGGCAACTCTGTCGTGGACAGTGCTGTGGGGGGAGGTCCAATTGTGATTGGCTCCTCCCCTCATGGCATATGTATCCACCACAGGGGCTAAACGGGGGCTCTGGACGGGTGCGAGGGGCTGGTAACCCCTCCACCTTCAATTAATTACCACTAAACCGCGAACTAAGTATATAACTAATAAGCTTGTGCCGGAGGCCCCAGGGGGCCAGGTGTCTATGACGTCTCCTGGCCAAACCCCAATTTGCGGAGCCAGGAGATTGAATATCTACCCTCGGGGCTCCTCCAGAAACAACAAAAAACCACTACGGGTGGCCACGTGGAATGTTCGAACGCTCACTGCGGAGGAGAGGCTTCCACTCCTCTGTCGGGAGCTGGACCGGTACCGCCTGGATCTATGTGGCATTCAGGAGGTCCGGTGGACCGGCTCTGGCTCCTGCCACCATGAGGGGTGGACAGTCCTCTACTCAGGGCAGCAGACAGCCAAACAACAGGGTGTGGCTCTTCTTTGAACAAAAGAATGAAGGGGGCGTGGGAGCGTGGCGGTGAGGTGTGGGAAGCTGTAAGCCCCAGGCTACTTTGGGCTCGCCTTCCCATCAACCGGAGGCGAGGAATGGTGGTCGTGGTTACTTATGCCCCCACCGAAGATGAACATCCGTGGAGGGATGCAGGCAAAGCCGATGAGTCAGATGCCTTCTATGACCTCCTGTCACAGGTGCTGGTTAAAGTGGCCCCTCGGGATAGAGTCATCATGTTGGGTGACTTCAATGCCCGAGTTGGTCATGATACTGGCACCTGGTCTGGAGTGATTGGAGTGCATGATCAGCTCAATAACAACGGTAGGAGGCTGCTAGATTTTTGTGCAGCCCATGGGCTTGTAATTACCAACACGCTGTTCCGGCATCGGCGCATCCACACAACATCATGGATGCATGCCGGGTCCAAGCAAGAACATCTGCTGGACTACAGAGTGACGGACCAGCGGATGCGAGCCCATGTCCTTGACACCAGGACCTACCGTGGAGCTGATCTGCCCTCTGACCATCGACTAGTTATCTGTAAGATTCACCTGCCATTCTTCCACTCCGGTGGTGGGTGTACACCGAGGACCCCATTCCAACCTAAAGTGGCCTGGTCTCAGTTATCTGATGAAAGTTGCAAGCGAGAATTTCATCATCGCTTGCGGCTGGGATTGGCATCGTCCCCGACTCCTCCTGATGTCGAGGGTAAATGGGCGAGGTTTAGGACTGTGACTCATGCAGCTGCAATGGCTGCTTTGGGTACGCGGTCCAGACCTCCCCAGAGACCCTGGCTGACAGAGGAGGTGTTCAGGATGGTTGAGAAAAAGCGACAGGCCAACTGTCATCGGCTACAGAATCCCACGTCAGAGAATGAGGAGGCTTACCGCAGCCTTCGCTCGGAGGTTCGGAGAGCCGTGAGGCGCTGCAAGGATGGGTGGTGGTCGCGGGTTGCTGAGGAGATGGAGTCTGCCTCAGTGGCCCGTGATCACAAATCTCTATTTAACTCCATCAAAAAAGTAATCTGCAGCGCCACACCTATTACCATCATTAGGGGAAAAAACGGTGACCCAATCTCCGACCCCCAGGAACAGGTTTGCAGATTTGCTGAGCATTTCTGAGGTCCTGGGGGAGGGAAAATCCCTC